ACAAATATCTAGTGTTGCCAGATCTAAAGTTACTAAAACGTAACAAGTTCGATACTCGTTTAATNATTGTTGTTTGTGTATTAATAGCTTTTACATACGTATGGATTTTTTGTTACTGTGTCATTGGTTTTTACTGTGTCTGTTATATACCCATGTGTAATTGAAAATTGTAAAAATGGAAAGAAAAATTCTAATTTTTATATAAAATACAAATGTTTGATTTTTAAATTTTTAAAATGTTTGTGTGTACCACTCCCCTTAACCCCACATCTGCAATGGTGAAAAATTCGGAGAACCAGTGGAAGAGATCACTTGGTCAGGGGATAGAGGTGTTAATGTCCCCACCTTGCAGAATAGACATCTGGAGAACAGACGTAATCCATCCGTCCTTAGTATTAATCTCTCCTTCAAGTTAAACTATGGCAGTCTTTATTTGTCTTTACATATGAACATGGCATGCATAGTATTTAAGTTAAAACAAAAACTGATGTTTGTAAAACGGTCTACCCTCCTACCCTATAGTTTGTGAAAATAGCAAAATAAGAAACAAATTTTGTTATGTACTTAATGAAAAAATGTAAGTGTTTTTGATGTTTTTTTGGTTTGTTTCATTTAATGTAATATAACATAGTCATGTTTTGACATTTTTGTTTATTTGAACTAGCACTGAAGAGGGGTTGGAGTATATTATACCAACCCGAAATATATTTGTAGTTCAATGAGTAATAAAAGTTAAATTTGCTAACCAGAAATTGCTGTGAGAAAAGTCTACCAAAGCGTGTGTTTTTGGATTACAGAGACGAAATTTACATTGTTATTTAACATACAGCAAAACCAACTATATATATTCATTATACTTAATTGTACAATAATACCCCTTACTTACGTGATAGGTGGGACCGAGCGATAACCGCGTAAGTCGAATTCGCGTAAGTCGGAGTATAATTTCGCATTTAAATACATACAAATAATTTTTAATTGGGACCGGAGACTAAAGAAAACAATAATTTAGAAAAAAAATGTTTAATAAAATCTTAGATAATACATATGTATAACAAATTATATTATTATACAATTTTTCACATTTAGGCTACTTGTTAATTAATTAACATTGTTTCCATCTCAGCGATAATACTGTGAAGTTTACAAATGATGCTTGAATTTAAAAATTGAGCATCTTTCACAGCTTCGAGAATTTTTTCTTTACCTTTTACAATTGTTCTGACCGTCGATTCCGGTAAATCAAACTTCTTTGCCAATTCACAAATTTTCATTTTTGTGTCGAAGTCTTTAATAATGTTAACTTTACATTCCAAAGATAAAGTTTTTCTTTTCTTGTTTGATGCAGAAGAATCAGTTCTACTTCGTTTAGATGACATAGTAAAGTCACTCGAGTCTCCGTAGATATAACAAACACAGAAATAAATAACACAAAATAAATTGTAGCTATGCGTCGATTCCGCGCGACACGTCCGAACATTTAAGCCGAACAATAGTGTGGGAGGAGTGAGTAATCAAGAGCTGCGTGACGCTCAAACAAAAGACGAATCGACGAGATTTGAAAATCGCGTAACTCCGGGTTCGCGTAAGTCGGGGGTAGCGTAAGTCGAGGTATTACTGTATAAATAAATATAAAGTTGCAACGTTTAACAAAGATAAAGATACTTTCTTCCGTTTTCCATTCGTCGTTCGCTCCAGTACACAATCCACAATTTCACAAGCAAGGTCGCTTCCGTGCTTGTGAAGTTGTGGATTGTCTACTGCAGCGAACGACAAATGAAAAACGGAAGCAAAGTATCTTTATCTTTGTTAAACGTTGCAACTTTATTTATATACTTAAGTGTAATGAAATTAAATAAAACTTTATTAGTTTTGTATAATACAAGAAATGTGTTACGATTTTATATATGAAAACAAAAAAATAGCGTATTTTTAAGATTTGTAGCCTGAAGATAATTATCACTAGCCCAAAAAGTAGCGTGTCGCCCAATTTGAAATTTTTGTAGCGAGGGCACTTAAAAGGTAGTCCAATCCGCTACTTGTAGCCCAATCTGGCCACCTATGTGATACTGGATGAGACAGAGTTCTGTAACAAACTTCCATCTGTCTCTGGATGATGGACAAAGAGTCGTTGCATCTGTTCATGCTTGTCTGATGATCATTTTTCCTGATGATCTGTCTGGAGCAGGGCTTCTTAAACTTCGTTTTATTCACGACCCCATTTATGATTGTGATTTTTTCGCAACCCCAAAAAAAATATAAAATAAAGATATATATAAATTTGCAAAAACAATAATGGTGTACTACCACAATTCACTCTTGTGTTAAAATGGAACAGAGACAACTGAATACACTGAAAAACGACAACAATACACTAGTTCACACTACAATCAGTGTTGCTGAATCATTGTCTCGCTGCACCAGAAGTGACACAAAGCGCAACTCACGAAACCTATGACACAAAGCGTGCCATTTTCAAACTCTCACAAATTATTTTCAATATTTTGCATTAAAATCTCGCGACCCCAAGATTTCGCTAAGCGATCCCAAATGGGGTCACGACCCATAGTTTAAGAAGCCCTGGTCTGGAGCATCCATTTTCCCCAACAGTGGGAAGTCCACCAGTGGCAGACTGGATAAAACCACTGAATAATGTACACTCACTTCCAAAAGTTAAGCACAGAGCAGAAAATGTTCATGTTTGGAAAGCAATCTGCATTTGAGAGGTTGCAATTCACTGCAGAGGTAGGTGGAAGTATGCAAATATGTTATGTTACTATCAATCATGATTACGTGTCGCGAAATATGCAAAACACACAGTCGTATAAGAAGCCAGCCTTCTGAAGTGGGAGAGGAGTTGCATGTAAGTGCCGAGAAAAAGTGTGGAGAACTGTCGTACAATTAGTGTGCATGACTGATGTGTTTCTATGACTTCCAGAGGACGAATGACAGACAGTGAGCACTGGCTGTGTATGGGACGCCTTGAAACAGGACAATCAATCACAGATGTTGCTCTTTTCTTCGGTGTTCATCATTCTGTCATTTCACGGTTATGGAAACAATTCCAAACAAGCCAAACAGTTGTCCGAAGACCTGTGGCTGGTTGCCCAAGAGTTACGATCCCTGCAGAAGATTGCTATATTGCTGTTGTAGCCAAGCGGAATCAAAGAGCAACCTCTACACGTATGACATTGATGATTGCTGCAGCTATTGGTAAAACGATATCTGCTACTACTGTGCGCCGAAGGCTACACATGAACGGACTGTATGCCCGGGTACCACGAGTTTGTGTTCCACTATCTGTCCAATTCAAAGGCACATGATTAAAGTGGTGTCGGCAACATGCGAATTGGACTGTGTCTGATTGAGGCAACGTTATGTTCACGGATGAGTCGCGATTTTCCCTGGAGCCAGATGACAAACGTGTAAGAGTATGGAGAGAAAAAGGCACACGCAACTGACCTCAGAACATTATCGAGCATCACGCATTCCGAGGTGGAAGTGTTATGGTATGGGCAGGCATTTCGTTGGGATATTGCACCGACCTGCACATCTATCGAAGGGGTTCTGTAACTGCTGTCCGGTATCGGGATGAAGTCCTCAAACCTATTGTGAAATTGTATGCTGCAGCAGTTGGTCCTGCTTTTGTTTTAATGGATGATAACACATGACCCCCTAGAGCTGCCTTCGTTGACGACTACCTCGAGAGAGAGGGAATCGCGGGTATGGATTGGCCGGTGTATTTGCCAGCCCTCAATCCCATTGAGAATCTTTGGGATGCCCTCGGCCGTGCTGTGTGTGCACGTTTCCCACCCCCTGACACTCTCACAGAGTTGCAAACTACTCTACAGGAGGAATGGAACTTATTTGACTCTGGAGTGGTTGATCACCTCATGGAAAGCATGGTTACATGCTGTAAACTTTGTGTAAAGATAAGGGGTGACCATTTACCCTATTAATGTGGGTTTTGTTTGTTTGTTTTGCATTTAAACATCATTTTATTAATGATTCCAATATGATTTCATCTTATGCTTTATGAAAATTCAATATTGTTTTCATTTTTCTATGTAATTCTTTGTGTTGTTTCATGCATAAACATATTTGCTACTGTCCTGCCACATTTTGTGTCAATCACAGATGTATTTGTCGATTTTTTTTGCAGTTTATTGCTTCGTGCTTAACTTTTGGCAGTGAGTGTAATTGGTTCCATGTTCACACCTCATATATCGCTGGATTTTCTTCGCGCGTCTAACCATAAACAAAAGGAAAATAAGAGTCATTTCTCCATAAGTCCTCCTGGGAGGGTTCCTTCCCTTGGCAGATCGTACATGTATTGCGTTGCCTTAAACTATCGAACCAACCAAACCCACAATGGGAATCTAACATGTTTTTTTCGACCATGTGGATTCCATTTCGGTTCTCAAGATCGGTAGGTTGACGCTTTAATCGCCTCGGTCATCCTCACGGTCATATCAGAATGGCATGACAGAATTGGTAAAACTGCCATCCTGCTTACAGTACTTTTGTCCAATGATGCGGCTTTTCTCAAACTCTGTGAGCTATGCCTAATGCCTTTGCTGCATGCCTGGCGTTAAGGATCTTCAAAGAACAGACGAATTGAAATTTTTGAACACAGTAAGCCTCTGCAAGCCTGTTTAAAAACAGGATTATTGCGTAGTATGCTGGGGTAATAATTTTAAGGCACTTTCACATTACATGATATGCAATAGGATCACAACCGTAATCATTGAGGAATAAGCCAAGCCAAACATGTTGAGGAACGGACAGGAATCTCACGACCTAGTAATAAACTTTTACTGAGGATCAGTGATCCTCAGTAAAAGTTTATTACTGGGTCCTTATATTTTCTGGTTTGGTTAAGTATTCTGTTAAGAATAATTATTAGAATTATTATTCGATATTTACTCATAAATAATAATTAATATTCGAAAGTAATAGGAATTTATGATATATTGTCCTGTAACGGTAGAGGGCGTAAATGTTAGTTTCAAGTCGCACGTTTCGAGTAAGGCTAACATTGTTAAATTGCTTTTATAATTGTTACAAATAAACTGTTCTCGTTAGAGAATGTCGGAGTTTGTTCCTCCCGCAATTAAAAAACTAATTCCATTAATAAAATGTCGGGTTCGTTACGAGAAAAGGTTGTTGTCCACTCCGGAAGGACCTTACGGAAGATTGTTGAAACTGAGAGACGTTGTAAATGCTGTAGTGAAACACGAGAGGATCGAATTGAATCTGCAAAAAGCGGATGAAGCCAGAGGATATATCGAAAGAGTAAATTCATTATTCTCTTAGTGTGTTAAAAATTACACTTATTATTTTTATTTTAAACCATTTGTTTACTGAAATATATCTGGTCCACAATTGTAGATCGGCTCGATTCCTACGCCGCTGGATATTATAATCTGTCTTTTATACTGTGATCTAATGTAGTTTCTCCAATCATCAATAAATACATTAAAAGTTTAACTGGAAACCGTTAATGAAAAGATTAATTTTCAGATTCCAATTTTGATAAGAGAATATCTTACCCAAATTGGAATCTTGAAGCTTAGTAATTCGCTGGTGAATTACTAAGCTTAAGGATTCCAATTTGCATTAAAACGCAATTCGCTGGCGAAAGCAAAAAACAGTGCAAATAACCCATGAAACGTCATATTAGACCAGTTATTTGCTCTGTTTTTTGCTTTCACCAGCGAATTGCACTCAGTGTGAACTAAGCTTTACCCTTCTATGCTAGGCACTATTATCTTTTTAGAATTATAGGCCATCCTATGAACAAAATTACCAGAAGGAATAAACCATGGGACCATGACCCTCATAAGATATTCTGCTCAAAGTTTTCCTTATGTTTTCTGGTTTGGTCAAATATATTAAAAAATTTGTCCTTTTTTAAAGGTCCTCTGAACTGTTTGCTAGGGGAAATCTTATAATGCTATTATATATAAGATGGCAGTCAAATGAAAATGAAACAGATGGGAAAAAAGTAAGTAAACTGTTTATTATTTTAAAAGTAATTGCCATAACTGTTAATACATTTATCCCTCTGTGAGACAAGATGGTCAATGTCTTCATGGAATAATGTTTGCTGTTGCCTACAGAACAATGAATGTACACAGGCTTGCACCTCTTCGTCCAAAGCAAATCAACGGCTGGCCATGAATGTCTTTCTTAAGGGCTCCAAAAATATGGAAATCGCATGGGGAGAGATCAGGACTGTATGGAGGATGTGTAAAGGTGTCCCAGCGAAACTTGAAGCATGCCATCAAGTCCAAATGCCCAGGAATGTTGACGGATGGCATCATTCCGTTGCAGGATAATGCCCACCCACATGTTGCTAAGGTTGTTTCGACTACGCTGCAGAAGTTTCGCTGGGAAGTCCTTACACATCCTCCATACCAGTGTTTCTTAACAGGGGGCCCATAAGAAGTTTGTCAAGGGGCCGCCAAATTATGCAAAATTTCCTTCAGAATATAATAAAAAGAAAATTGATGTATAATTGAATATTGTATTGAAAAGTGAAATAAGAAAGATAAAGTTTTTGTATTTAGTTTTTTTTTATTTAACAAATTAGTTGAGGATATTCAGCAGCAGAAATCTCGTTAAATTATTTTCCAATATTTTTTGTTTTTTTTTAATGTTTTGTTAAAAATTAATGAGTTTTTATGTTTAATTGTGAAGTTTGAATACATAATGAAATAATAAAGTTATGTTTTACATTTATTATATAAAAAAATAAAACAATAATAAAAAATTAATTTATTATAGATAATTTAACAAATATAAATTATTATTAAAAAATTGAGGGTCAGAAAAAAATGAAATATTTGGTGGGCCACGAGTATAAAAAGGTTAAGAACCACTGCTCCATACAGTCCCAATCTCTCCCATTGATTTCCATTTTTAGAGCCCTGAAGAAAGACATTTGTGGCTGTCGATTTGCTTTAGATGAAGAGATACATGCCTGGATACAATCATGATTCTGTTAGCGACTGCAAACATTATTCCATGAAGGCATTGACCATCTTTCCTCACAGTGGGATAAATGTATTAACAGTTATGGCAATTACTTTTGAAATAATAAACAGTTTACTTACTTTTTTTTCATCTGTATTGTTTTCATTTGACTGCCCCTTACACATTTACTAAACTATATAATTTTGCTAGGGGTATCCTGGAATGTCAATTTTAAGCCCTAAATATATCAGCAAATAATCTTGTGCTGACAATACTTTTTATACCACTAAAGTATGTTTTAATCATCTCTTGTAAATAGGAAAACATTAAATGATTTTAAACACTGGTTTTAGTTTCTATTTTTGGTACTTTTCGGTTAGCAGTCAATTAATGCAAACCAACTCGTGTATTAGGTTCATAATTGGTTCAGAGAGGATTTCCCAAATGGGTAGGTTAGGTTTAGGTTAGAGTTATTATTGACTGACACCCTGCTAACCGATAAGTATTCTATTTTTTTTTTTTTTTTTTACTCTTTTAAAATAATTTTTAAAATAATTTGACACTAAAGGAGACAAGTTTTGGAGGGTCATTTCTTATAAAGCTCACTTCTGGAAACTTGACTCTTTTTAATGGTTTTGTTGTATACAAATGTCAATAGTAACTGGTAGGGATAAACCATACTGAAGTTTGTTTGCTAAATGGTAGAATTAAAGCAGAATGAGATTCCCACTTTCTTGTGTTACTGACGTTGATGTACTATAATATAGATCAGTCTTATCTCTGAATCTCACTTGCAGTGTAGCCAATAGCATATTATTTATCCTGTTTTAGGATGTTGCTTTATGTGAACAGAATCCAATTACTTACATAATTGATAATTGGGAACTATTCTTTCAGTTCTGTTGTTTAGTAACAAAATTCTTTTAAAGTAATGATTTGCAGTCATGCAAATTTGTTCAATAACTAATTTGGAAATTTTTCCCTATATAAAATTATTTTTCAATAATTAATTAACAAGTTACACTCTAATTATATATAAATCTTATTTCCAAATGTCTCATTTATTTACATTTAAAAATATATTAATAAATTTTTATTTAAAATATTTTTTAAAATACAAAAAAACAGACTATTGGTGTAATGAAAATGGTAAACATCAGAAAATGTAATTTCAAAATAAAATAGAAAATCTGTACTTGGTGGTGGTCAAAATTAAAAATTTTTAATTTACAGAAATACAGAATTTATTTTGTAGTTGTTTCTTATGAAGAATATTTGGACCTTCAATAAAACAATATTACATATACAAAATGAAATTCCTGTATATGATATGATTTTATTTTAATTATGTTATCTATTTCAATTTGTTCCATATTAAATTTGTTATTTTGTTAACCTGTCCACTGGTTTTTACTTGGAGAATTGGTCACCCTATCGACAGACTCATCTCACGCCCCACTCACTGTTAGAAACACCCTCCTACCAGATTCTAACCTGACATAGCCATCCAGTGAGAATTGAGTGGTCTTTGATGGACTGACATCGGGTAAAGGGTTTAGAGTATCTCAAACACCAGCTTCTCACAATTGTATATTGAACTCCAGAAAAACAAAATAGCAAACAAGAATTGTTCTCTAAATTTCTAGTACAGAATGGTTTCAAGAATATTCTTTTTTGTTTGAACAGTTTTTGCTTGCAGCAATATATGATTTATAAATAAATATATATTTTACAATGGTTTCAAGAATATTCTTTTTTGTTTGAACAGTTTTTGCTTGCAGCAATATATGATGTATAAATAAATATATATTTTTCCCCACTCTACCTTCTGGGCATTAAGAGGGCTTTTTCCTAAGTTCTTAATTGGTTCAGCCAGATCCACAGACTTGATGTATATAAAAATTGCTGGTATTTGGTTTGATTTCTCAGTTGGACACTAGACAAGATCCACAGAACCAGACAGTTTGGTTCAAAATAGGACAGTTGGCAATCCTAGCTATTGCAGATAGGTTAGGTTAGTTACATTGATCACCTAAAAATAGGATTGCAAGCAGCTAGAGACACTATGGGAGCATAAGAAAAGGATGTGCATACTGCCCAAGCACTTTTAATTTAAGAATCCTGTTAGCCGGTGAATATTGATGTTATTTATGTACTAATTACATCAGTTTTAAGTCAATTACATAACTAACACAGTTTTTAGCATCTTCCATAGCAAACAATCAGATCTGCTACTTACAAGCAAAATAGCTCATGCTCAATTTTGAATTGAATCAAGTTAGTTATATTTTATAATCAATTCGTTTTTCAGAATTAAATTGTTTGTAATCATGGCCTGAGAATTACTAGAATCTTTAAACTACAGCTTACAGTATACTGTAGTAAATGTTGATTAATTGCTGTATTCATACCAAAATGTAATTTACTTTTCAAATTTATGTTGAGTAAAAAAATGGAGTTATTTTATTATTAAAAATAATGAATAAGAAGACGAAGCGTGATAATCCTTTGTATCTTTCAAAATAAGTGATAACATCTTTAAGGTTTATTCTTTCCCTTATTAAGCTTGTTTGAGTTTAATGAGGGAGAGGTTATCGGGAATTTCCCCCGATTCAGAGCTGTGGGGGGAGCTAAAATGTCTCTTTTATACGTTTAAGCTTAATAAGGGGGGGTCAGAACTCATCTCACCTTTCTTTTAAGTGTACATTCTTTATTTTCCAGTTAAAATATTTAAAAAAAGTGTATTAAACTTGTCATGCAAATTAGAATAGAATTTGTTTTTTTTTTTTTAATTGTTCTTACATTACTTGACAGCTGTCGCGAGTGTCCAATTCCTTTCCATCGTCGAGAATACCCAGATGGGAGATGCACGTGCGATTGTTTCGATCGCCAAAGACCCTGTTTAAGGATCAAAAGGGGAAGAGATCCTTTAGCAGAAGTGGAGAGAAGGTAATTACGTCATTTGGAGGAGGAGCGCTTTATATAAGAAACTTAATATTAATAATCCCCTAATTAACGTCTTTACAGGTGCGTAGAAACTGGTTACTGTCACATCCCCGACTGCGAGTATGGAGAGTATGACATCACGACCGGGTTGTNACGTGTAGGTCATTTCATTGTTATTCACATTTGATATCATCATTTATCGCATACTGCCATGATGCTCTTGTCTGTCTGTTACAACTGTTAAGAATTAACGCGATTGGCAAAGCGTAGTGACAGCGGGCCAATAGAGAGCAGGGTCTTTGCCATAGTGAGGTTTGCGCGCCAATTTTCGTATGTGCGTTAATCAAGCCGAATAGTTTGGCCGAATATTTGGTATTTGGCCTGAGGCCGAATATACTATTTGTTGCAACACTACTAAGTATAAAACGTAACAAAGACCTTAGACCATATGTCTTTGTCATGCAGCCTTTCTCTCTTTGACAAGGTTCAAAATCATCTTCAAAATAAAGTTTGTCAAGCTCTGTGATGATCATTTTACCTGGAGATGATTTTACTTACTTATCTACAAGTGAAATATTAATTTGCTGCTTTATCCAGGTTATGTTATATTCTTTGTCTCTTCCATGTTGGACAGGTTTCTGTCTTATAGTAAAATTTAATATAGAAAAAACATTCTATTCTGAAGAACTTTTCCCATTTAGGCAGGTTTCTGCATTATTCAGGTTCTATTTTGGACAGATTTTACTTCGTAAGTACCACTATATGCTTAAAAATGTTTTCATTGTAACACGTATACAATTCTAGTAATAAAATTTATTTTTTGTAAGTGATAATTAGCATTTGGAAACATACTCTGGTAGAAGTTAATGATAGTTATATAAAGCATAAAATATTTCTAATCTACATTTTTTATTATTATTTATGTCAAGATTGTCTGACTTTTTAGTTTCTGGGACAAATTGCACTTTTCAGCTTAAGTCACGGGTTGGTGACGTAATTTTTTTGTTTGTGAAAAATAAGACATTTTAAATTCTTAATTAAATAACAAAGAATATAGCAAGGCAGTATTTATGTAATAATTTCATTTGCAACATAACTATATTCTGTTCATAATATATTTATACAATCTGTTAGCAATGACATATCTGTGACATTAGTCACAGATATGTCATAGTCACATAGTCAGATTCCATGTTGTAATATTATCAACAAAGTGAAATATCAATTAATGAACCTAATTCTAATAACTAATTTACAATTGGTTGTGGGCTATGAGAGTTTCAGAATGTTTGATTGAAATGGTTTAAAAATTGTTAAAACCTCCTCTATTGTTAATACAGTGGGTGATTGGTTAACGAACAGTTCAGATAGCGAACAAATCGGATAACGAACACTTTTGCAAGAGATTTTTATGATCGGACAACAAATACTTTACTGAACAAACATAAAAAGAAGCAATGTAAAATAACGAATACCGATTGATTTTCCCTTGTCTTCAGGTAACAATTCGAAACCTTTTGCAGCGTCAACATCGACGCTCAACCTTATACCAATCAGATAGTATTCCTCCAAACTTTCAAACTCTCCCTTGTAATTCCAGCTGTTTGTTTACCTTTCTGACAAATAATTTTTTTATAGTCTTTGCAACACTGTCTGATGGGTACTTGTTAAGTTTTGCATCAGGGTTTATTTATGAAAGGTGAAAGTTTAACTGTTCCATCGGATATTTGTTAATGTTTTAATACCAAATTTCGAATTTCATCCGGACCTTTCATTTAAATAATTTTTTGTGGGCTAGTTGATTTCTGTTCTCTGAATTTTTGTAAGTGCTTTTCTGAACTTTTTATTTAAAAAAGAAATTGATAATATTATGGAGCCTAAAAAAAAGGAGTGTCAAGAACTGTGCTCACTATAGAAACCAAGTAAGAGATAATAGCCAAGGTAGAAAGTGGGCACAAGATGTCTGATGTTGCTAGGCAGTATGGCTTGAACAGGTCTACAGTAGGCACAATCTTGCTAAGAAAGATATATCAAGAAGTCTGAAGCTGCTAATGGAGTAATGAAAATCACATCTGAGAAATAAAAAGCATTTTAGAGCTCATAATGGAACCTGAAACTGATCTGACGACAGAAAAACTCCAGGGATGTCAGAACAATGATCATCCAAGTGGCATCCAAACCAGAATAAGGTTAATGGGGTTGGGGATCTCTACAACTACAATACTATTTATTACTTCTGAAAAATCCCGAAGAAAAGAGAAAAGCAATCAACATTGGACAGATTCTTTAACCCCCACAAATGGAAAAAGCATGACTGATAAAAATGCAAGACTTCATATATATGTATTTTTACTATTACATATAAATGAATGTAGTAAAAAAGTATATATTTTTTATTTTTTGGAGTCTCTGGAATGAATTAATCAAATTCCCATAAAAACCTACAGTAAATCAATAATTGGTTAACGAACAATTCGGATAACAAACAAAATCTTGGAACGGATTATGTTCGTTAACTGATCACCCACTGTATTCAGAGACCTGCATTTGACTGTCCAGTCTAACTTTTTGATCATCATGTTCTCATACTAATCCATATATGTGATGACTATGACATAGGGTATTGTCCTGCTGATAGAGGTATATATGTGTAGATCTTTTCCAAAGTATTAACATTGTTATTGTATAATTGTCTGGGGTTTGTATTCATAGTTTTGACTAAAATTACAAGTCAAATTGCAAAACAGCAACCCCAAACCATTATGTTTCCTTCACTAAACTTCATTTTTGGAATGATATAGTCTGGAAGATATCTGCTGGTGTCTGCCACACCTGGGAACAATTAGGTTGTTTATTTGACTAATCTGTTAAAACTACAATTTTAATCTACGTATTGTCGAAGATAATACTTCTTGCATAATAGTGGACTAGCTCAGTAGGAATTTGGGAATTTCCTGGTGGTCCTTCCTTATTTTAATATGTTATATTTCACTTGAGAAAAGTAAACTAACAAACTATAGATGTTTTATTTGTATTAAATTTAAGTCCTATTCTAATTCAAGCTATATGCTTCTAAGGTATGGCCCATATAAACTGTCATTTACTAGCCACAATGTACATTTTGTAACTTCTAACTTGAACTGATCACACCTTAAATCTGGACTGCCAAGATGAGCTCAAATTGGACTAATGCTTCTCATTGCCCAGATTTGACTCTGGTTTCCAGAGCAATAGGCTGATGCACGTTGACCGTCTGGCATGCATACACATTATATATATGTGGCACCAATTTAATGAGGACACCTTGGAATTTTTCCTTCCAAAAGGTTAAAAATTTCCCAAAGCAGTCCAAGAAAACTCTCATAAAATGAAATGAACCTATGCTTAGAAGTATAGAAGATCCTGCTGAGTTATACTAAAATTGTGTATATATGGTACAATGTGTATCTGAAGAAAATTCATCCGTCAGTATGAGTGAAATTTGATGCAAGCATCATAGCCAAAATTTCTATAGTTTGTCTTTAGCAAACAAACATTACAGTCCTATCCTCAATGTGTGCTGTACATTAAAACTTACTTTATCCTAGGACTCATATGACATTTGTATTAGTGAAACATTCTATAAATCCTTACCTCATTCATGTAACTTTTATATAAAATCTGCAACTTTTGAATATTTAAGTAAGTCCTTAGCAAACCATGTTATACAATTTTCAAAACAATTAAAAATTTTTACTTGTAAAAGACCTTCACTCTCTCCCCATCCATTCCTAGTTAAACTAAATTGATCTCCAAATCTAAAAGTCTAAATAAAATGTGTACGTATGTGTCTATGATTGGTATGTATTCCCAGACCAAAAGTTTTGTCAGTTGGATGTTATTCTTATATCAGTCAATATGATTATCAGCTTAAGCAGTGGAAGTAAAACTAGCAACTGCTTGAGGTCTATGCTGAGGGTCTATTGGGAATTCTCCTCTATTTTTTTACAAAATTTTCTTGTTGAGTTTATAAAGATGACATAGACCAAATTTATGTTACAAAATAAACTTTGTTTCTTATTTATGAATTTGTAAACATTAAAGCAATAGTAACTCAGATTTAAGCCTTCTTTTTATTGAGAACTAGCTTACCCATTGCACATTTCTGCGATCTCAGAAGAAACAAAATTCAAGCAAACTCGTTATGATAAAATGAAATTTACATTTTATCATTTTTATTGAAAATTCTTATTATTATATTATTNAATTAAAAACTTATCATGCTAATTTTATGCATCTGTGTTTATACTTTTGAAACAATCAAACATTGAAAATCTTTGATAATTTTTTTTGTAATTGTCAGATAGCTCTAAAAATTTCAGAAAAATGTTTAAATTGATGTTGTAAACAACATACTAATATAATAAATACATTACTATTGTTAATGTTTTTGTTATTGAAAAAAGTTGAGTGTGTTTATAATTTTAAAAACGGACTGTAGTCCTACTGAAGGCCTATTGTAATTATTTTATTATTGTAGTTTATCGGCATGCTGAATTCATAAATATTAAACTTAAAATGGGTTAATATGAAAAGTTGAATTTATCTATCATTTTCTCTTATAGTGAACATTGTGTATGTTTAAACATTATATGTCAAAAGAGTATGTTAAAATAAAAGCTCAAACCCTCATTAATTGAATCATTTCAATATATGTTAAAAATTTATTCAAATTGTAATTTCTTCTATTTCAGGAAGAACAACTTATTCACAAATTATTCAAGGTTCTTGTCCCACGTTACAATTCTTACAATGAATGTTACACTCTTCTGCATATGGTACCTAAACAATTTGAAAATACAGTAACAGGAAAAGATAGAAAAAGTTTACATATCAGTAAGAGAGCAGTTCTGGAATTAAAAGGTAAATTACAGAATTACATAGAAACATAAATTATTTTTACATTGAAATTTTAAAAGTGATAAGTAATATATCTTGGATATCTTGGTAGACAAATTGAAGAAAGATATAAAAAAGACTAATTATTGGTATATACTGAATTTGTATTTTATATATATATATATAGATGATAAATTGTAGAAATTGTCTTTTGATAATGTGATTAAGCAGTTTGTGGCCTACAAGAGTCAGAAGTTGTAATATTGTATATTAATGCCAAATGAGTTTAGTTCTTCCCTCAATTTCTGACTTTTTGTTTTTTTTTTCTTAGTTGCAACTTGAAGTTTTTGGGGCCCCTTCAAGGGTAAATCCAGCACTGAATTTAGGATAGCTGCACAATCATAATAATCTGTCTTGTGTAGGGTTCTGTGCACTTTATTGACTCTAGCAGGAACACCAGTAGTCTCATATAGTTTGAATGACTTAAGACAATGCTAAATTGTATTTGGAGCAGCTCTTTGCAGACCTTTCCTGTTATGTTCTGTTAACTTTGGAGGCTTAAAGAGCCATTTCATGGCAAATTCAGCTCCTTCTGGCTTTTCTTTGCATATCACATCAAAAACTAGAGCTCTTGGAAATGCTGCTGAAATGCCATGTATGGAGTAATTACAGAAATGTAAAGTATAGAATGACTACTTAAATAGTACTTTATTATCAATTATCAAATAGTATTATTATCAATTCATGATAGAATTTTCTTGATTGAGATTGATTAGGGAGGGAGGATATTGATCCTACTATTAATAGGCTTATATTGTATCTTACATAAGCTGTCATTCATTATCCACAGAGAAGTATCTAGATCAGGGGTGGCCAAAACGTGGCGCATTGGATGATTACAAGTGGCGCTTCAGTTAGTTCTGAGCAAAATTGCCAGATTTGGCTTTTTTGCGATTAAGAATATTATATAAAAAAGTTAATTTTTTATAGTCTGTCATGGCAAGTTCATTTGTTGCACAATTCGTTACAGTCTATTTTGCAGATAAAATGAATGTTCTCCACATAGTAAATTACAGTGAATGCACGTATTTTGAGTCTTGCGATCTTTATTTCTGACCAGTTTACAGGCGTGTAAATGGCCGAAAACATTTAATGTGATTAAAGTTATTCCAAGCTGATCTTGTTCTCAGTGCCAATAATTGTGGTGCAGAGTAATCTTCACCAAACGAGACTCCGGCAGCAATCATGCAGCATCATCATCATCATCATGAAGATCATGTCATCATGTCAATATCATCAGGACATGATGTACAGGAATCGTACAGGAGAAATCAAGGCAGCATCATGAAGCAATAGCCCTCTCGTACAGGAGATTATCATTGATTATTGTAAATTGGTGCTTCAATAAACTGTCATAAATTAATTAATTCAACTGCGTAATAAAGTTATTCCTTTTTCTCTCCTAAGCGAAGCAGATTTATTCTTATCTCTATTTATCAACCCCTAACATTGAACGTAAGACTGTATAAAAAGTGTTCGAGTTATATGGCGCATTTGAACTCGTCTGTCAAAAAATTGGCGCATGGTATGCAAAAGGTTGGCCACCCCTG